CAGCTGCTCCCAGGCGTGCGTGGAGCCCGTGCCAAGCAAATCTCAGTGTGCCTTCGGGAGCAGCTCACCTCCCAGCTCCATCTGCTTGTCCCTATCCCCTCTCTGTGTCCCCTGCTGCCTGGCCAGAGCCGTGGCCTGAAGGAATGGAGTTTGTGGGGGGAATGCCATATAATCCCGGCAGGAATCATTTCCCCCGGACCCTGCCAGATCCTGGATTTACAAAGAAAAACCCCAAGAACAGGAATTATTTTTCTCTCAGAAGCCACATCAGTCAGATGCAGCCAGAGCTGCCTTTTTGGAGGTTTTTGGTGACACGACAAATGTCCCAGAGGACACGCAGGAAAGGCGGCTCCTCTTGCCTGACACCGGTGCACTGAGCAGGTTGGGTCCCAGCTGCTCCCCCCGATTTATTCCGGGGGAGGCAGAAAAGCCTTCGGCTGTCTGGAGGTGAGCAAGGGCTGGGCGAAGCCTCTCAGCGTCTCCCGCCTTCCCCGTTGGAGCAAAGCCCGGCATCCCTAGAAGGTGGGACCCACACCGCACCTCGGGCTGACGACCTCCACCAAGGTCAATCAATTTTTAGGGCCAGATATTTCTAAATTGGCTTCCCAGAGGACAGCCAGGGCTCCGCTGGGCTGGTAAGACGTCCCAGCAATCTGGTGCAGGGACTTTTGGGCTCCAGCCTGATCTGGAGCATCCACAAGAAACTTTGCTCTCTGATCGGGACGAGAGGATCTGGACAAGATAATTCTGCACCGTTTGCATGCCCCCAGCCATGAAAAGCTTAAAAAGCTTATTAAACCATTAAATCACGGAAATCCTTAAAAGAAATAACCCCCAGTCAATCCTGACATCCTCCCCCATCCCAGGGGACCGGACACATACCACAAACACGCGCCCAGCCAAGGCGATGCCCCCCACACACTGCTCGCAACCCCGAACCTCATCTCCCCGGTCACACAAGTGGCCGTGAGCCGTCAGGCTAGGACACGTAGGCAAATGCTCCCCAAAACAGTCCTGTCTGCCAGTTTTCAGGAACATCAATCAGATCTCAGCTGGAGATCTGGCTGGATATCAGGCAGGGGATTTTAGCGGTATTTCTTCCCGTCATGGTCTCCCCGTCATGGTCTCACCGCTCCAAGAGCAGAGAAAATGTCTGAGCAACCTCAGACAGGGGGAGAAATTCAGACAAATTCACGTGCTGGGGGCTCCTCTCTGCCACACCGCCACGTGCAGGTACCGGTGGTCTCACGCTCGCGCCCGTGTCGCCTCTAGCACAGCCGGGGAGTCACGGGTGGGGGGACCCCCGGGGCAGCGCCTTACCTCTGGGCCGTGCAGGAGGGAGGTGATGCTTGGCCTCCGGAGAGCCGCACACTGCCGGGGGCCGGCGGCGGAGGGGGAGTATTAAATCGCAGCCTGCCTGCAAGTGGTCAGTAAAAATAGCACAAATGCCCTCTTGTGTGCACACATTTGCCACGAGCCCCAGCGCCCCATGACGTGCTACACACACCTGGGGCACCGTCTCAAACACGGGGAGACACGCGTACATCACCCGTGTCCGATAGTGCACCCGTGTTTTGTTGCACCCATGACCACTACACGATTCGGTGAATTCCTGTGCTGTTTGCATTGTTTGCATGTGAATCACCCCAGCTCGGCCAGCACTCGCTGCCCGACGCCTTACTCACACGTGTGTTGCGTGTGAGCACGCAGACATGTGGGTCAGGCTGACGGTGGTGCAATGGCAATGCCCCTGCAGACGGGGTATATTCTTCATGGCACATCTGCCTTGCTCCTCTCCGATGTAAACCAGCATCGGAGATGCTGGAAAAGCCCTGAATCTGCAAGGAGGCAGAAATCATGAGCCGAAACACTGCGGTGCTTTTTCTTCGCAGAAAATCTCCTGAATCTTTTTTTCTTCCTTTTTTCCTTTTCTTGCTTTTCTTTTTTTTCTTTCAGAAAGTCTCTGAAGGGAGATGGGGGGTGTGAGAGCTGATGTGGCGCTGACCCCCACGCACGACGGTGCGCACACGCTTTGCAACGCTGCAGGCACGGAGTGATGATCCCGCAGGAGCACTGGCCGAGGGGTCTCCTGGAGCTGCCAGACCTGCCAGAGCAGGAGGGCAAAGCTGCCCCGCGCCAGGACAGGGCACTTTGCCGAGGGGTGATGGGGTAAAACAGCAGAGGTGGGGTTAAAGTGTTGGGCCAGATGGTCGGTTGGGACCAGGGACGGGGCAGTCCCCTCTTTGGGGAGCAGGACCAGCCAGACTCACCGAGCACAGGTGGGGATGCTCGAGTAATTTTCAGCCCCTCGCAAGAGCTAATGTTTTCCCCTTGGAATTCCTAAAAAGCAGCAAAAAAGCTGCTGTCTCGCCCCTGTGCACCCTGCAAAGCCCCTTGCCCGGTGTCCCCGTGGAGGGAGGCTTCGTGCGGCAGAGGACTGCAGGGGCAAGCAGCACCTGTTCCTTGGGATATTTTTAGGGGCAAGTTTAGGAGCAAACAATTCCCAGCGTGCAGCCCAGCAGGGACAATGCCCGGTATTTTAATCCCGAGGCTATTATGGTCACGGAGGGACACGCAGCTGCATGTGGGGGGTAGCTCCCCACAGTGGGGGAGCAAAGAGAGCCTCTCTGTCCTGCAGAGCAGGGGATGCATGGCCGCCTTCCCCGGCTCCTTCCCCCCTGCCTGGACACCGAGGGGGGAGCTGCACCCTGCTGGGGGGCGATGCAGCAGCCCCCAAGCTGGTGCAAGGTCGGTGACGGTGACAGTGGCAATGGCAGTGGCAGTCCCATCCTTGTTTCACCTGCACTAGTCAAGTCCCAGCAAGCACAGGAGAAACCCCCCTGCGCCCACCCTCCTCGGGGGTCCCTCCAAGGACGCTTTCCCTTCCCCGGCTCCACGCGCCAGCGCAGCGGATCTGCTTCCAGCTGCCGAGGAGGAGGCTTTATACCAGCCCCGTTAGACCTTTATAAGGCAAAAGCCCCCGCGGGGCCATGCCTCCAGCACCTTTCCTCCCAGCTGCCTTGGGATTGTTTTCGGAGCACAGAGGAGCCAAAATTAGCCCGTGACAAAGGCACTGCATTCCCCACAGCTGTGCCCCGGGGACCCGACCGGCTCCCTTGCCCAGGGGACAGGGGCTGCTTCAGATGCCATTTGCTCCAGTCTCAGGTTTCGTCCTCT